AGCAAAAGTAGTACATGTATGTTGATTTATGAAACTAACATCCATAGAACTTTATGAAATAATGTGTTTTGAGAGCTCTCTTAAAACATGGCAAGGTATTACAGTCTCTAATGTCAGATGGTAACGCGTTCCATAATTTCGCTGCGGCTGTCTGGAAGCACCTGTCACCATATTGTACTGTCCAAGATTTAGGCACAACTAATGTCATTGAGTTATTCTGGGACCTCAGATTTCTGACAGGGATGTACACGTCTATCATGTCTTTTATATAGGCTGGTGATTGATCGATGAGGGATTTATATGTATAAGTCAAAATTTTATATTCGACCCGATACTCTACTCTCATAGAGAAGATTCATGGCTCAAACTCACCAAGCATTCATCTATATAATATTGAGCTAATTAAGCAGCTCGCTTACATTGAATCTTATGCCATTATTTACTGCACAGTTAACATAGAGACTTTAATTTGATTTAATTTTAATTCGCCCGCCCGTTTAAAATAGCGCACTAGTAAGTAATAACTATACTTATTGAATTCTTCAATCGTATTATTGCATTATTTTTACATGAAATGCATGATCTTACTTATTTCAGAATAAAATGATCACATGAGAAAGGTATGTTTAAACCTTTATAAATGAATCATATACATATTATAGTAATACAGTGTTTACTTTTAACGTCTGACCGTTGGCCATTAATAGCAGCAAAATGTTGCCATTAATGTTCACCTCCGCGGGACGATGACCCCGTCAGACATATGGAAGGGATTATCCGCCACTCTAATTAATATGAATACATTGTAATTAATATGAAGACATTCTTTTTATTTTGAAGACATTCTTATTGATAGGAAGACATTATTATTATTATGAAAACATACTACGAACACTAATCTTATCATGTGGAGGTTAATGACTACCAAATATTTCCCCTTATATATAACGTATTGTAAAAAGGCCAAGTTGCACAATTGTCCCGATCTATAACCCGATAGTCATATAATTTTCTATCAATATGGGTATTATTGCACCATGCCCTATATATACACACAGTCTATCCAATAGAAGACAATTATTCTGGTTCTGAAGTGTCATCGATGGGGTCGACAACATCACCACTGGTGACGCTCTGGTTCAACCGCTGCTCCTGAGAGTCCAAATATCTCTTTTTCAGTATTGACTTTTTCTCGTTTTTAATCCGGTTGCCGATATATTTATCGAACAATGTCAACATATTGACTGGTTGGAAGTTGGGGGGCCATATGCCATACCCGATCCCTTCCTCAATTATCTGCATATTTAAGGAAGGGTTGATTGCTTCTTTGTTGTCCGTCAGTTTGTTCTGTACTTAATATAGGCTCTTTGGATGTAATTCAACATATCTGCCGTCGCCTTTCTATCTTTTTTATAGAAGGGTAGTATCTGGTGCTGTATTGCTGGTTGTCGACGAGTCCGAAATGTCTAAAGAAGACATGTTGTTGCATTCAAGTTCGTGAAGTAAATAATTTATAATGAATTAGAGAATGATATAACCAGTAAAGAGCACATGAAAAAAGGAGAAATGGAAAATATCGCTTGGCTAGAATTATATAAAAGACTTGTAAACCTACAGGAACACAATTGTATAGGAACCGTGAAATATTGCAATGGAACACGTTACTTACTGAAAATCCGGCTCTTTTCTTTTCAGCGGTGTGGTGACAAAGGGGATAGGTAACTTCTTTGCCGAATAAGAATCCTCCTGGCCATCTCCATCTTCGCTCGTGTCGTGCGTGACCTGTACACCACTGGTACCTGGCGTTACGGCATCGCTGTTTCCCTCCTCGTGCGCAGCGGCCAGTCCGGCAAAGAACGTTTTCCTCAACGTCTCCTTACACGTGCAATGCTGCTGTCGGTGCAATCTGGCGTTCTCCTCTTTCACTGACTGCAACTCCGTAGTCGCTACATTGAGTCTCTGTTCAAGTTGCCCTACTGTCTTGCGCAAACTTCCCACTTCCGTTAAAACCATGTTGACCTGCTCCTTTACAAAATGCTCTGACTTTTCGGCACACTTGACTATAAACTCCGTATCGTCCACCATATCTTCGCAATCACTCATTCTGAAAATGTAAAAATAAAATATAAAATGTAAGCATTGTAAATGGCAAATGTAGCGACTTGTATCCGTAACACATTTTTATATATTAAATATTTTAGAAGAATTTAAAGAAAAATAATAATCTGTATTTTGTTTCTCAAGGTTCGAACCTTGTGTCTATTTTTATGCCCCCGGGCATATAGTAATTGACCCGTCTGCCCGTCTTCATTCATGCTTAAGAATGGATCAACCATAAGCAGTAACAGTGCAAAATGTTCATGGGGAATTTAACTCACTACAATGTTTCAGCAGTACCTCCAGATGCTTGCATAAAGCATGATCACAAAATAAAAAAAATATCGCTTTTTATGCCGATGTTTACCTTTTATTTATCTATTTATATTTTATATAAATCCATGTGAACATATGAATTAGGTACATGTATATCAAAGTGCATTTTGATGAATGAAAAGGCAAAATTTCAGCATTTAATCATTCAAGCTTGTCCTGAAATTACTTAAATACAGCATATGGCCCAACCCTTTTGTGACAATAGGGGCTACGATGGGATACCAGGCCGACCACAGTTGTTATCTAAAACAACCAACAACTCAGAACAGAAAATATATACAAATTTATTTACAAGAAACGAATATTTATAAATGAAAAATGATTATATATGAAAAATCACTGCGCAAACAAACACTATCAACGTATCTCAGTCTATTTCTCCAAACACTATCAACGTATCTCAGTCTATTTCTCCGTAAAGTTTCTGTCATGATGTTTCAATAAATTGGTGGCGTTGTTGAACAAAATTCGTCACAATGGCGGGCGTCTTGTATAAAATCTTATCAAGCGTAACTGTACTTCCTACAGTGTTGGCACAGTTGATAGGATCCTGAATAAGGGCATGCGTCACCCTTTAGCCATGGACATACGTGTGGAGGGCCCGTGTCATCTTCGGGTGTGTCCTCAAATAAGAAGCTTGTACAAGCTGTAATTTTATGACAAATATAATTTATCTGTCACCGTCATAGTGACCTGTGTAACGTCCAGTGCATTGCAATATATCACTTAAAATTTAGTCATTATATAGCAAACTACTGAATACTGAGCGGGAAAACGGATAGTGCAAAACATGAAAAATCGATTTGCACGAAATAAAGCTGGGACGGCGGGAAAAATAGTTATGTAAAATAAAGGCCTGTCCTTCAAATACAGACATAATACATATATCTGGTTCATAAAACAAAAATGTAACTTTCTTATTACTGAAAGGATTTTTGTGAAATAAACGGCAAAATGTTTAAATTGAGACATGGAAATTTATGCAAACCATAAAAATACTCTAAATAATAATTTCACCCGAAAACTCTAAATTGAACAAAAGATGATGCAATCTCACATCAATGAATATAGAGTAAAAATGAGGTTCGGCGTGAAAATATAATGCAAGATTTTACAAACGTACTTTCACTTTGTGACATTTACGCCCCCCTTTAAATAAGAAAATTGATAAATTTTCTTTAAATACAACAAAGTGAAAACGACAAATTGCAAAAATGTAAGTAGAAATACTGTACACCATATTCATAACCACCATAAATACTACACTACACTCTACATTATACCCTGCTTAAATAATCTGCACCTATGTTTTCTCTACCTGGGATTGCTCTAATCCTCATCCTGTATGGCTGCAAAAGCAAAGACCATCTCATTATTCTAGAGTTACTTAACTTTGCCTTGTTAAGATACAAAAGCGGCTGGTGATCTGTCTCTAGAATAAATTCCTTACCAAACAAGTATCTGTGAAATTTAGAAATTGCCCAAACAATACCAAGGCACTCCTTCTCTATTACAGAATACTTCTGTTCTCTTGGTAACATCTTTCTACTGGCATAAGCTACTGGAAATTTCTCCTCACCTTGTTCTTGAAGTAATACAGATCCTAATCCACAATCAGAAGCATCAACTCTGAGAATAAATATCTTGTCTAAATCTGGTAATTTCAAAATGGGCGGACCGGTCAAACTAGCCTTAAGAGTCTGAAAAGCCTTTTCCTGACTTTCACCCCATTCAATACGATTTGGTTGAACTTTTTTTGTCAAATCGGTCAACGGAACAGCAATGGCGGCAAAGTTAGGGATAAACTTCCGGTACCAAGACACAACCCCTAAAAATTGCCGGACTCCTCGCTTAGTCGTGGGTCTCTCGGCCTCCTGAATTGCCTTGACCTTACTGAGAACAGGTTCAATGGACTTACTACCTCCTATCATATGACGTAAACATTCCAATTTTTCAAAACATATGAAACACTTGGACGGTCTAGCAGTAAGCCTAGACTCTCTTAATTGGGTAAATAACTCATACAATGCATTGATATGCTCTGGCCATGTGACTGTATAGACCAAAATATCATCTATAAAACTATCTGAGTGATCTAGATCTTTCAAAACCTTTCTCATCAGTCTACAGAATGTTGCAGGGGCATTGACTAAACCAAAGGGCATTTTCCGGAATTGAAAAAGTCCCGACGGGGTTTCAAATGCGGTCAAAGGTTTTGCATTGTCAGACAAAGGAACTTGCCAGTATCCTTTACTAAGGTCAATTTTCGAAAAATACCTGTATTTTGATAATTTCGAAAATATCTGTTCCATATTGGGCATCGGTTCCGCATCAAATACCGTGCATTTATTGATCTGTCTAAAATCAATACAGAACCTAATCGTGTTATCCTTTTTCCTGATAAGGACAATTGGACTAGAAAACGGAGCATTAGAAGGTTCGATAACTCCCAACTCTAGCATTTTATCAACTTCTTCCTTTACTATCTGCTGTGAGTGAAAAGGAATAGGATAACCCTTAGTCCTTACCGGTTCTGACGTAGTCAACTTAATGTCATGCTGAACTAATTACATATTTTCGGGTATATCTGTTAAAACATCTGAAAATTTCTTTATCAAGGTTGCAATCTGAGTCTTACAATCTGTTTGTAAGTCAGGATTGACCTGAACATCTTTATATGTCTCTGAACCTTTCTTCAATGGACATAGCAATATGTCACTATCATCTTGGTAACTTGTTTCTAAACTATCATCTTCCTCTAATCTATCATACCCATTTTCCGCTTCTACAACAGCTGCACTTACCTTTGCCAATGCACCTCGTTCTGGTTCGAAATTTCTTTCAACATACTCCTTCAGCATATTGGCATGGAAAGTTTTGATCTTATTGTTACCTATGTCTATCCGATAATCTAATTTGTTCACGACCTCGGAAACTACAAATGGACCTTTCCATTGTAACAACAACTTATTGTGTTTTGTAGGTATAAGAACCAGTACTTTACTTCCCTTCTTAAAAGTTGTATCTCTAGCTTTCCTATTGTAATACTTTCTATACCTAATACTGCTCTTCTCTAACTCCTGCTGTGCTATCTTACATGTACTTTCTAGTCTTTCTTGCAAATCAACTACATACTGATAAGTTGTCTTAACTTCGTCATTCTCTGTTTTTCCTGACCATAACTCTCTCAAAATGGTAATTGGACCTCTTATACTATGTCCATATAACAATTCAAATGGCGAGAATCCTAAACTGTCTTGTGGAACTTCCCGATACGCAAACAACATAGCATTCAAATACTTATCCCAATCTGTAGGTCTTTCACTACACATCCGTTTCAACATCTGCTTTAAACTACCATTAAATTTCTCCACTAAAATAGATAAAAACAGAATCCCTAAAGAAAGCCCAACACGGCAAAATTGAAAATGTTGCAGGCTCGGTTTGATTGAGCCTGTTCATGGACGGTACTGGAAAGTGCAAGTTACCGTCCACGCCCCCTAGCACCGGCTTAAGCAGAATTCAACATTTAAACATGAAATGGTAAAATTTTGAATTTAGAAACATCCGCAGATGTGTTCATACGGCGGTTATCATGGAACCTTCAATGTGACACTTCCGTGCCATTCCATGAAAAGCGGCGTATGGTCCCCAAGTAATAAAAAGCGTGTGCCCTAAACGAGAAAACAATGGGCGGAACTAAATAAAATGGAATTTAGAAAGGGGATCAGAGGTTATGAAGCCTGCGTATCACAGATAAGACGTCAAAAGACAAGTTTAAAAAGCAGGCAACATATCCTAAGGGTGATTCAACATTATTCAAGTAGGAATATTGGAACCACCCAACTAGAAAATGCCGAAAAGTTGAAACTAAAAATACCACAAGCACAACAATAATGTCGTGTTGAACGATCTTCAAGGATCGAAAATATAACATCATTGATTAAATGTACGGGGAGACTTTTTACAGCCGCCACACGGCACAAATAACACGGATGTGATCGTAAAATAGATAAATACAGAATCCCTAAAGAAAGCCCAACACGGCAAAATTGAAAATGTTGCAGGCTCGGTTTGATTGAGCCTGTTCATGGACGGTACTGGAAAGTGCAAGTTACCGTCCACGCCCCCTAGCACCGGCTTAAGCAGAATTCAACATTTAAACATGAAATGGTAAAATTTTGAATTTAGAAACATCCGCAGATGTGTTCATACGGCGGTTATCATGGAACCTTCAATGTGACACTTCCGTGCCATTCCATGAAAAGCGGCGTATGGTCCCCAAGTAATAAAAAGCGTGTGCCCTAAACGAGAAAACAATGGGCGGAACTAAATAAAATGGAATTTAGAAAGGGGATCAGAGGTTATGAAGCCTGCGTATCACAGATAAGACGTCAAAAGACAAGTTTAAAAAGCAGGCAACATATCCTAAGGGTGATTCAACATTATTCAAGTCAGGAATATTGGAACCACCCAACTAGAAAATGCCGAAAAATTGAAACTAAAAATACCACAAGCACAACAATAATGTCGTGTTGAACGATCTTCAAGGATCGAAAATATAACATCAAAACCATTACACATCGGATGATACGGTGTAGTTGTTAACTATCTAAGAGACAGCAACCTACTAACCTCATTCATAATCTGTGAAGTAAGTTGTGATCCACAATCTGTAAGCATTTCCTCTGGAACACCTAATCTACTATACATGTCAACTAATGCTTCGGCTACTCTTTCAGTCTCTATACTAGGCAATGCAATTGCTTCAGGATATCTGGTAGCATAGTCTACCATGGTCAAAATATATCGGTTCTTCCTATCAGTCATAGGTTCGATCGGACCAACAATGTCAACGGCAACTCTCTTAAAAGGAGTATCAATCAAAGGCATCTTACCTAAAGTTACCTTACTTATTCTACCTTTAGAAATAGTACGTTGACAAATATCACAAGACTGACAATATCGTCTAACCTCTACAAGAACACCTGGCCAATAAAACTCCCCTAAGACTCTATCACTTGTCTTCCTAATACCAAGATGTCCTGCCAAAAGCGAGTCATGCGCTACTTTTAACACAGTCTCCCTAAGATCCTTAGGAACTACTAACTGCCTACTTACGTCACCATTTCCTGCCGTAAACTCTCTAAACAACATCTTATTCCTGACCTGAAACTTCACTTGCCCTTTACCTCTACAGTTTCTAACAGTACCTTCCTCTGCTTTCTTTCTACATCCATCTAATGACCTATCTGCCTGCTGCTTCTCTACAAACTCTACATTAGTGATGTCTAAAATCTGTGAAGGAACTTTAAGTCTTCTATGAGCTTTAACTTTACTCTGCGATCTTGTTTCTACTGCTGAAGCTAACTTACCAAAATTTGGTTCTACAGCACCCTCTATGTTACCGATAATTACATCATTTGTAGGATTATCTACACATAGTGCTTCTACAGTACCCCTGTAATACGGACAATCAAGATCAATTAACGCCATGTCTAATCTGTGCTCACTACCATCAATGTACTTACATCGTCTGGACTTCCCTAACAATTGATTTGCATTTACCAAATTCCTTCGTACTATGACACATGTACACCCAGTATCTCTCATTGCAACTATAGCTTTACCATTACATATACCTCTAGTTGTCGGACATGAATTTATAGTAACTGTACCCACGTCTTCAAAATCCCCAAGTTCTATCAAACTACTACCACTATCTGATCTCGGCATCGAAATTTTCGAATCTGCATCTCTATTTCTTCCTCTACCTCTACTCCTACCTCTATAACCTCCTCGCCTTCTATTACCCTGATAACTATTATCATTCTTACTTGGATTCATTGAGTTCGGTTCTATGTCTTCCGCTGCGTTAGCTTTATTTGTAGCCTTATTTCTACAGAAAAATGCTGTATGCCCTAAACGACCACAATATGTGCATTTATAACCTTCATACTGCTGAGATGCTCTACCTCTATTTACCAGTCTATCGTTACCTCTTTGCATACGATAACTACTACCTTGATTTCTATCTACAGGTCTACTCGGCAGTGCATAAGGCTTAGCTCTTTCTTTAATTCCATGATTCACTACATACTTCGGACCTCCTCTAGTCTTGGCAAACAAATCTGCATCTTCCGCTACTTCACGGGCTGAAAACAACTTCTTACTACTAAGGTTCTGATATAGTTCTCTATTGCAGATATCTAAAAATTGATCCCTTACTATGAAGTCTAACAACTTTTCATAAGTCTTCTCCACCTTACTCAATCTTAGCCAACCATCTAAGTATCTAGAAATTCTAGCTAGGAACATCACAAAAGTCTCATTTTCACGGGGCCTTTCAGTCCTAAACTTCTTCTTATACCCATTATCAGTCAACTCAAACTGCCTTAACAAAGCATCTTTCAGCTTATCATAATCCATCCTATCTTCTAATGGAAGCCTATCAAATACCTCCCTAGCAGTACCTTTTAACAGAAACGGTAAGTTTAGTGACCACATTTCATGTTCCCAATTCTGAGCAGACGCATAAGTTTCATAAACATTCAAATACGCATCCATAGAATCAATCTTTTCGTCAAATGGAGTCATCTTAACCTTAACCTTACCTACACTCTTCTTACCTAACATATCTAACTCTATCTTCATCTTATGTTCTGTATCTAACTTCCTAGTTTCTGCTTCCTCCTTCTCTCTTTCTAACTGACGAGCATAATCTAACTTCTCCTTTGCAACCCTAGCCTCATTACTTAACTTCTCTTTTTCCATTTCTATCTCTATTTCTAACTTCCTAGTTTCGGCTTCCTCCTTCTCTCTTTCTAACTGACGAGCATAATCTAACTTCTCCCTAGAAATCTTAAACTCATAATCTAACTTCTCTTTCTCATTACTTAACTTCTCTTTTGCTAACCTAGCTTCTAATTCTAACCTATCCTTCTCAGCTTCTCCTTCTCAGCTTCTAACCTACTATGTCTTTCTTCACGCTCCCTTGCTTGCTCCTCTTTAACAAAGTTTCTCAAAGCCTCATCTGTATACCCTAACTCCTGACCTACCTTCATCAACTCATTTAAACTAGTCATCTTGAACTTATTATGTATATTTCCTACACTGTAACACTACTACAACAACAACTTAGGATACAAGTAAAATCTTACCGTGAGGTAGAACAATGATATCAAAGTATCATTAAAGGGTAACACTACAACCCTTAAACACAAAACGCTATATTCACTAAGTGCAATCACGGTGCACTATAACACTACACTTCAGTGTAACACCATATAATTAAACGCATTTATCACTCTAGCGCTATAATCAAAATGTACCTTCACTGTACACAGTACTAAAATAAACAATGTATCATATATTCTAAACACTATACCTCACCACTACAAACACTAAGTTTCAAACTCATCTAAGTATCTCACTAAGGTTGTATAATAATAATCTTAAGTGTACAGTAGACAGTAGGCAATAATTAAAACTGTTCAAAATACTTTAAACTTCAAAGTCCAAACTACGACCCAAAACTCAATGTCGCGTAGCACTTTTACCCCACAGTGCAAAAATATAAAAGGTATATGGCCAGTTTCAATATACTACAGACACAAAGTAATCACAAAGTAAAATTGTAAATGACACAATAAATTAAATGTTCACCTATATAACAGACACAGTTTCTTTATCTAGAAAAAGTACACAAGACGGGTAGTACCATAAATTGCAGAGTGTATATGTGTATATGTGTACTTCCGGTGTTTTACCAAAAGGTCACTTTCAGATTACAAAACTGGTGGTCTCATCATAAAGTGACACCTAAAAGGAGGAAAAATGGAACGAACTCACCCTAAACGTCCACTGTCGGGTCTGTGTGGCTGTTATAACCTCTCAGCTGGATAACTGTCACACACACAAGTCCGTTTCATTTGTCACGGTATCAATCTGAAAATGTTAAGAAATTATAATCACACTAAATATAAAAAAAATAATTAAAAGTGATACAAAATTTAACTACCTTTAGTAAACTATATTTAACTTTTAATTGTAAATAAAACTTTTTACTTTAAATAAAAACCAAAGTTTCTAGTGTTAGCTATATAACCTAGCTGCAGTAAAATGAGTGTGGTTTGTTTCAAATAACAACTCTAGTTTGTCTCACTCAATCATGAGTTTGATACAAGGAGTACTGTCATTCTAAGATGTCATTCTAAGAACACAATTCATTCATAAAAGGCTCATGGGAATGACGTCATTTAAACACATGATTTGTCTTGATGCATGTATATAACAGTTTATTGTAAACAGTAACAATTTTGTTTAAATAAATATTAGTAAAATGACAAACATTGTGAAATGAACTGAGGTATTAATTCTAAACATACTTAGTCAATTTATACTAAATAAACATTTTTACAAACTCATTTTAACCCTTGTACATCAAAAACACTGAAAAAGAGTGCTTTAACACATCAGTCAAACATGTCATCATGGAGATGTATATATCTTACAGTATCTTGAATCTACAAACATACAAAGTCATTGAACATCAAAAATACTGAAAAAGTGTGCTTTAGTCAATATTATTTCAGTCAAACTGGTAAATAAACATATCTCATAATCAAAACACTCTCCAAACTGACGTCAAAAATACTGACATTTTAAGTGGAAAGCAAATTTGATGTCACACAAATATTCATTGACAGAACTGGTAGAACTTTCAAATAACACAATCCTTTCAGAAATACCCTCTAGCAATTTCAGTCAAATTCAATCAACCTGTAACATATCGAGACTGTAAAGTTTTCTCTTACATTTAGTCTTCCTCTTTAATAGGGCTGGGAAACAGTCAAACTGTTTAATGTCGGGCCATCTGTTGAAATTCTAATGAGGGAAACAAGACTGTTGGTATTCAGTCTGCATCTTAGTTTAGTCTTAATACAGTTCTGTGTCGAAAACATTCGTTCATACTGAGCACTTGTCATGGGTATGACTACACAACATTTAAACAACTGACATATATTTGGGATCTCCTTCTCATACTTCTTGTTCATTATGTCACATATTTCAATTACAGATTCCTTCTCACAGCTTCCCATCACAAGGCTTTTATATTGTTTGTATTCTGACACACAACTGTCAACATCTAACTTTAAGTTGTTTTGAAAAGAGACTAGCTAGAGTATGTTTTTCCTTGAGACCATAACTACCACATTGGAGGTTGCTAGGAAGAATTGCATTCATGCACGCAAGTAGTTCTGATTGTTCAAATCTGTCTTTCAGATTGCTGACTATGGCATGTACATATTTCTCCATGATTTTGGTCTGACTTTGTTGTTGTTGCTGGTAGTATTTGAGTTTCACTTCCTGAGAAAAGTCAATATCAGCTGACTGTTCCTGATCCTCACTATCATCATCACTGAACCCTTCGAATTCCATGTTTGAGTTCTTATTTTCCTAAACAGTTTTACTTGTTGATTCACTCAAAGGTCTAGTATATACCACAGAATCACCATCATTCTGAACCTTAATAAACTGAGTAAGTTTGTCCACAAAAACACACTCACAAATCAGTAAGACTCTAGTGGTTCACAGACACTATTTACCATAGGGGCCACTTTACTTAAGTCAAGTTCTGCATTCTGAAATGTTTAACTCAGTCTGCCTAGAAAGGGGAGAATGTCCATAAGCCTGTGTGTCAAAGAAATGAATTTGATTTGTGAAATATCATTAAGCAAAGATTTAGCAACAATGTCTCCACATGCTGCCATATGAGAAAGTGTCACATAAAGAGATGTGTATGTCCTGTACAAAACACCAACAGCATTTCCCATTGACAACCAACGGACAGAATGAATATCTGCATACAGTAAAAACCCGCTTTACGACCACCCCGTTTTCGAGACCAACCCGCTAGTACCAACAATTTTTTAAAGACCCAATTTTTTTATTCTTTATTTTAATGGTCGCTAACCCCGATTTTGAGACCACCCCGTTATTCCGTAATACGACCAGTAAATTCAGTCCCTTTTCGTAAATTCTGTACATTTGGAAACCCATAAATACGACCGCGAGCACTTTCTCACCTTGATATTGACATGCATGTATATTGCTGAAATCTTTTTGACACGTGATGTAAACAACAGATGTCCTAGTTTTACGACATTTAACGACATCCAATTTACGGCAGAGGTCAAGGTTACTTTGTATCAAACCCGGAAATGATCAATAATATTGTCGATAATTTCTTAATTTCACACCTTTAATGTCATAACTGGAGGATTAAAACAACAAATTATTGAACAGAAAACTTTCAATAAGTTGAGGTGTTGCTACTATCATTATCTCTTTCGTTCCATAATTTAAACAAACATAAACATTTTACGATAAGGTTTTTGAAGTTGTTATCGGCGATGAAAACTGAAAATAATTAACTGTTAATTGTTCGGTGTGCTTTGTAGTAAAATGGTGATTTAATTGAGTAAGTCATGTCATTCTTTTAACAAGAATGTAAAAATATGTTTGTGTTTAATGACATTCATAATACATTTTGTACCTCTAAAAATGTTTAAAAATTTTATAATGTTAAAAATAAAAAGTAAAAGAACATAAATGAAAATAAAAAAATAATAGTGTATGCTTTATATCTTCTCATATGAAATAGGTTAGCCCAGAATTAAACATATGTACAGTACATGGTATCCCTTAATATATTGCCTGGTTTTCTGTTAGACCAAACTCATTAATGAGACCAACCGGCTATTAAGACCAGATTTGTAAAGTCCCTTCATTGGTCTCATTAGCGAGTTTTCACTGTACTTGAGTGTTGGTTGGTTCAGTAGTTGTGATATTTCTCTGAGCTTGCTCTCTCTTAATGCTGAATTGCTGAAAAACCTGAACACATTAGTCACTGTTCTCTGATAACTTTCCATTTCAGGAATTCCTTTAGTAGCCTGTGATGCAGCCAAAGCACAACGATGTGCTGCACAGTGTACCCCAACTAGAGACGGACATGTTTCACTTAACCATTTAACTATTCCATTGTTTCTACCAGTCATCACACTTGCTCCATCTGTTCCAATACCAATAAAGTCCCTTAGATTTCAGTTCATCCAAAATTTTATTTGTGAGCACTTCTGCATTTGCACTAGTTTCTTTGATTTCAACGTTGTTAAGTAAGCACACTTTAATTTCCTTTTCACAGAAGTACTGAGCATACATAATCAAAGGTTTTCTGTTTCCTGTATCTGTGCTCTCATCTTCAACTATTGAATACAAAGGTGAGTTCTCTATTTCCCTTAGTTTACTTTCCAAAATAGAATCTGAAATGGCAGACTGAAACTCAGTCAAACTCTCATTTGTCGTGTAATGAACTGTACGTGTTCTTTTCTCATATCTTTCCCACCCATTTCAATAAGATCAATCATGGAAGAAAACTCCTCCTTGGGTAACTCGTGTTTGGCCAAATGGTATGCTGCCCATAAATATCCCAGCGCACAGTCATCATCTTTTTATGCCACCGCAGTATCTGTTTTGTAACTCTGCCACAAGTGAATAGAGTAGTGGCCTCTTCTGTCCGTTGACTTTCCTTATTACACTACTGGTGGCATCAAAGTACAAGTCCAATGTTTTGGCTGATGTCAATGTTCGAATATTTTCATTTGTTTGTCCAAAAACATTAATACTACTAGAGGATCAAGACCTATTTCAGGTATGTAGGGGTGTCCCATTTATTCATCATTCTCCTTTAAAATTTGCAATTCAGTTATCATGTTAGAATGCATGTCCACCTTTTTTCGCAATTCTGAAACTATCATTTGTAGGACACCTTGGTTTGGAACACTGCTAAAGTTACCTAGTTCCATTTCTTCAGGGCAAGCACATGAAACATTTTCGTTGAAGACTACAGCTGGGGTGATCTGCTGTATCTGTTCGACCATTTTAAACCTGTCTTGACCAGTTATGTTTCTTCTATTTACTTCAAATACATCATGCTGAACATTTCCCATCACCCTACAATATACATATATCTCTCCATCCTCGCTTGGTATGTTCATTTCGAATCGACCACTGCAGTTTTCCC